ATGGAGCAAGCAAATGGCTATTAATACTTGTTTTTAAGCTTTCAAACCAATAATTTACAGATTGTATTTAAGAAATTACCTGGTAACTTTGGAAAAAATTAAAATTCCGCTACAAATATGCAATACACTGAATAGTTTCAAGAAACAATGAATAGTATAAGTGCCCTAACTTAGAATGGTTTGTACAAACATTTTTGGAGACAAATATTATTATAACATTAATTTTGAACGCTCGTAATTCGTAGTGGTCTGACCGTATGGAAATGAAACGATAAAATGTTAGGAATAGTATGCGATTCTTTAAAAGTACAACATTTGAGAGCCTGAAAACTGCTTGCATAGTTCTAAAAGCAAATAATAAGCTAAATCTATTGAATGCAAGTTTCAAAATAATTTTCATGGAAGCCGTTAAATTAAGTCTCTTTCATATATTTAACAAAACCACTTCACCTGCTGGAGCAAAGAGATGCATCGACTCCAGCAATTTTAATCAATTTAGACACCTGATCACGCATCTTACGATTACGCAGGGATAAACGGTCACTGCAATGCTGATGCTTCAAGCCGTAAAGGCAACTCCCTCAGCCGATAAAAAGCTTATCATTTAGTTAGAAGTACAATTTTACATTACTTTTACGTCTTGTTGAATAGAAACGCGGACAAAGATACAATTAGTTTATTCGATCGTGGGTCTTTATCTGCTAATTGTCATCTGTATTGGATCTCCGTCCTTTTCTATTTAATCAGAAGTTATTTATAAAAAGCTTCTGTCTTATTATAAATTGCTTCACGTCTTCTCTCATGATACCTTATATAAGGTGCATGGTAATTATCTCTCGATTGCTCAATACAGATTAAGTGCGACTGGTGCTAGGGGGCGCGGACGGCAGTTTGCACTTGACAGTATCGTCCATGAACAGGCTCAATCAAACCGAGCCTGCAACATTTTTAACTTTGCCGTGTTTGGATTTCTTTATGTATTCTTATTTTCTCTATTTTGTTAGTTTGATTAGGTTTTACGTCAGACCGACACAGTAAAAATATGATGAACAAGATCAACAAGGAAAGGCGACGTTCAATGAACGCAACCCCCATATGACCCGGCAACAAGAACCAGTGGCAAGGAGTCCAGACAGACCCCAAACAAGGTCATTTGGCGACGTTCCAGCTTTACTGGTGAAGGAATTCGAAGGCCTCAGGTGCCCTTCCGTGTTAACGGGCACCTGAGTAGAACCACCGACGTTCCGTAAGCTAGCTGGATTGCTTCCTCACATGAAAGAATCCAAAGTCCCTGTCGAACCCACTGCGGTGTGGGGTCAACGACCTTAACCACTCGGCCACGGACGCCCCTTCTCAATTTTAATTATATTAAGTACTTAAACTTAATTGCGAAATAAACCAACAGAAGTACTGGTAGAGTTTGGTAGTAAAGACACGCGTTTTGGGCATATAGTGGGGCTAAAAAACATTGTAGCTTATAGTAGTTTATATTTATTTCAACTTATGGGTCGGGTGGGGGCTGCGTTCATTGAATGCCGCCTTTCCTTGTCGATCTTGTTTATCATATTTTATACTACGCTTTCCTCTTTTCCTTACATCTGACGGACCATGTGGGAGACTATGATGGACAGTTCTTAAAGCCCTGAATTGCTATTATGTTTGTCTTCTGTCTCGCTTCGTCGGGCCCTTGTAGGTGCTTTTCTTGTTGCTCTGTTTTCCTTTTCAAGTTACCTCTCTGGCGTGGGTTCGATCCCCGGGAGATGCTTTGGTAGTTTAGCACGAAGGAAGGTAGTCTAATACTGGTGTTACTCTCCAGGAACGATGGTTAGGAAACTACTCGCCTATATGACTGAAATACTGTTGTGAAAAGGCGTAAAATGAAACAAACAAACAAAACTGTCGTCCTTTAAGACATTGAATACTTTTGTTATGGTCACTGGGTTTTCTTTTATATGTTTCTACGTGATCATTTTGGTGTTCTACTTTTTTCACCTTTTGTAACCATAACAACTGTTAGAATTTCACTTGGCGGGGATTCATTTTATTTACAATGTCTCGTTTATAGGAAACATGGTGGGGCTAAGAGTGAGGTTTGGTGCACCACTAACCGGTTTAATATCTCAAGTAGTACTTACCCTGCTGATGGTTCTGAGGCGGCGCCCCTCTGTGTCATTCTGTTTTGGTGACACTTTTGTTTGTGTCCCCTGTTGTTTTCTCGTCTACGGTAAGTATCTTCCCTTTTGCGCCTAGTTTTATTTCTTTAATTTTGCCCCCACCGTCCCTGAATCTCCTATCATCCCTGTGCATTTTTATTTAGTGGGCATATTAATCAATCATTTATTTCTTTTCTTTGATTTTGATTTCCTTATCGGTAACTATTATTTCTTCTTATGTATCATTTTAGTGATAAGCTTGTCCTTGTTCTGCCTTTCGCCCTGTGCTATTTTTGTTTGGGGTCCTCCTAGGCTCGATGCCACTGGTTCTTGTTTATGGGTCGTGTGGGGGTTTGCGTTCATTGAACGCCGAATTTCCTTGTTGATCTTGTTTATCATATTTTATATATGGAAAGGACACAGTGGCATGGAGAAATAGACTATTACTTGTTAAACGAAATTGAAACTAATGTTTTAGTATGTTTTGTTTGAAAGTGAATTAAATTGATAAATGATTTCCGTTTCAGTATCTGCTGTTTATGTACATTTCTATTACTTCTTTAAAACGTATCATAACCCCGCAGACACCTGGTTCGAATCATAAAACAATATGAAGTTTAAGGTTTCTTGATATCAATTGCGATTAAAACCTTTTTTTATCATAAAAAGTAATGCATCAAAATTTGCTCAATATCAATATATTTGAGATTGAGGCTTCCACTTTCGAGCTTACACGTACATACGAGTGATCTGAAAAAAAAACTCGCATATGAACCTGTGTTATTCTTTTGAAAATTAAATTAACTATGAAATGAGTGTTAATCAGAAAATTTAAAGTTGCTTTGAAATGCCCGAGTGTAGAAAGCATTGTCTGAGACAGAAACGTTTTTGTTTTTATTGTTTCATAAAATTTAAACAAATAATTAATTTCTTTAAATTCTGTATGTTGATGCTCGTAACTTAAAGTGTATTTGTTAATCAAAGAAATAAAAACTAGAGGCAATGGGGAAGATACTTACCGTAGACGAGAAAACAACAAGGGACACAAACAAAAGTGTCACCAAAACAGTATGAAACAACATAGACATACATCTGAGGAACACAGTGGGGCGCCGCCTTGGAACGGTCAGCAGCATAATAATGACTGCTGGGGAGTTTAAACCGATTAATGGTGCACCAAACCTCGCTCTTAGCCCCACCATGTTCCTATAAACGAGACAGTGTAAATAAAATGAATCCCCGCCAAGTGAAATTCTAACAGTTGTCATGGTTACAAAAGGTTAAATAAGTAAAACACTAAAATGATCATGTAGAAACATATAAAAGTAAACCCAATGACCATAACAAAAGTACTCAATGTCCTAAAGGAAGACAGAGCAACAAGAAAATCACCTACAAGGGCCCGACGAAGCAAGGCAGAAGACGAACATTAAGACAATTCAGTCCCAAAGGGCTTTACGAACTATCCATCATAGAGTCTCCCACTTGGTCCGTCAGATGCAATCAAAAGAGGAAAGCGTAGTGTCCAACTGTAAAAGGGTTGAACACTAAACATGCAGTATGTTTTAAAATAGTAGGGTCATAACCTCATAACAAACTAGACTTACCTGTAAGTTGACGTTGGGTTGGAATTCTATGTAGTCATATAACAACTGGAGGGATCAAATGAGATGTGCATAGACCGTATCAATATTCCTCAGTCTTCAAAACGTTAACAGAAAAGTTATGTCCCAGAACGGGATCAAAAAGTAACATTTTCCTTAGGTATTAAAATATGTAACTGTAACATTAAATGTTTTTCTGGGTGGAGTGGGAGGGCATTTGATCCCTCCAGTTGTTATATGACTACATAGAATTCCAACCCAACGTCAACTTACAGGTAAGTCTAGTTTGTTTGGGGGAATTCTATTACGTCATACAACTTCCGTGCTCAAATGAGACTTCGACACAAGAGGACATAACTTTTATGTGCTACGAGTCACTTACTATAAGACATGTAAATGTTTCAACAGTAACGTATGTATATTTTTTACCTGTATCTGACATGTTACTGTAATACTGCAGACTGGAAGGATACCTCTGTTTCCAGTGGCTTCTCATAAAACTGAGCAAATGTCCTCTCTGTTGCCCATCCAGCAACTTTCATGATCTCATTCAGCGGAACTCCACTCTGCTTTGCCTTGGAAGTTACTGCTCCCCTAGCACTATGTGTTTTATATTTATCAACGTCAATACCTGCATCTCTCATTACACATTTTATCCACCTACTGAAAGTTGTTGAGACAACAAACTTGTATGGTTTAATGTAACTTATGAATAACCTTTTTTCTTCTCCACGCAAATGTTTAGTACGCGATATGTATTCTTCTAATGTACTATATACACACAACCTCCTATCTGGAGTATACTTCTTGCAATTTACAACAGGGTTACGTTTACCCTTACGACATTGTTTCAAAAGCCCACAATAATACAAAATAAAGGAATTCTCATCCTTTTTCATACCTTCTAAAGTTAATAAACTTACAGAGTGAGAACGACTTGCCTGAGTCAAAACAATAAGTGTTGCTAACTTATAGCTCAACATTTTCAATGTCAAATTATTCACTGGTGGCAACGTCTTCAGGTGACTCAGAAGTATTGAAACATCCCACGTTTCTGAATACTTTGATCTTGTAGGTCTTAAGTTATACACACCGGTCATGTATCTCACAACTAACGGGTGTGAGCCGAAATTATACCCTTCATGTGGTTCACAAAGCATTGACAATGCACTTCGTGCTGAATTCAAAGTTTCATAACTATAACCCATATTAAAAAGTTCTGTAAGAAATTCTATCACAAAGTCTATAGAGGTTTGAAATATATTACTTTGCCTTTCACGACAGAAAAGAACCCATTTGTTGATGTAACATGAATATTGCTTCTTAGTGGAGCGTCTCCATGACGCCATGATGATTTCGACAGACTTTTCCGAAAGATCTCTGCTTTCGAATGATTTCCTGATATATGACATGCCATCAAATGGAGTTTGTTTACAAGAGGGTGAATTTTGTTCAAGCCCGGAATTCGTAGTGTGTTGCGACTTACTTTGATGATTAGTGGGATGTCTATTAACATTTCTAAAACTGTTGTGTACCAGTTCTGAGTTACCCAAACAGGCGCCACCAGGACCATCTCTGCTTCGTCTAGCAGTACCTTCTGCACCAGACGACCAATCAGACTGAAAGGAGGAAAAGCATAAATAAATTTTCCTTTCCAGTTTAATGAAAAAGCATCTACAGCTTCTGCTTCCGGGTCTGGTTTCCAAGAGACATATCTTGGCAACTGTTTGTTTAACCTGGAAGCAAATAATTCTACTTCGGGCTGCCCAAATATGTCTGCCAATTCTGAAAACAACCCATCATTTAGCATCCACTCAGTATTGTCATTGAATTTTCTCGAACTAGCATCAGCCTCATTGTCTATTCCAGGAACGTGTGTTGCTGAAAGCCATATATTTCTTTCACAACACCACAACCAGATTTGTCTTGCAAGACTGTTTAAATTCTGTATTTTGCCTCCCATGTTCTTAATATAGGAGATTGCACATGTATTGTCTGATTTTATCTGAACATGGCTATTAGTTGTGGTTTTGTAAAAGGATTTTAATGCATAGCTTACAGCAAGCAGTTCCAGGAAATTGATATGGTTTTGGGCCTCCTGGTCACTCCATCGACCACCAGTTTCTAAATTTTCACACACTGATCCCCAGCCTTGGATCGAGGCATCGCAAGTGATAACAATACTTGGGTTTCCATGAGAAATTCTCCGCTTTTGTTGAAAAAGATTATCAATCCACCATTGTAATTCAACTTTAATTGATTGAGTTACCATCATGGTGGACTCATAATCTCCTCTATTTTCTTTTAAAGCAATAATTTTTTCCCTCTCTGTATCACGATAATACAAAGGAGCAAACTCAACTGCAGAGAAAGTGGAAACCAAGAGACCCAAAACTCTAGCAACGGCCCTAATCTTTGCATGATTACGGTTTTTCAAATCTACACATGCTTGGACAATTCCATTTACTTTTTTCTACTGGCAAAGTTACAATCTTTTCTTTAGAATCGATATTGTTACCGAGAAAGGTAATTTTTTGAATGGGTTCAAGTACTGATTTTTTATCATGTATCATAAAGCCAACATCAGTCATTAAATTGACGGTGTCAGACACATTTTCTCTACATTCTGAGATTGTGTCTGCCATTAACAATGAATCATCTATGTACCCTGAATTCTTATGTCCAAGCATGCGTAGAGATGCATAAACTGGCTTCATGAGCCTAGTAAACTGTTTTGGCGCACCAGAAATACCATTTGGAAGAGCTTCGTACTGGTAGATTTTACCTGACTTCTGAAATCTTAGCTTAATTTTGTGTTCTGATGCAATTGGAACAGAATAGTAGGCATGACGCAAATCAATTGATGCAAAATAACAGCCAGGTTTGACTAATTTTAATACAGATTCAAATGTATCCATTTTAAAATGATGATATTCAATAAATTCATTTAATTCTTTCAAATTTAAAATCATTCTATATTCACCATTCTTTTTAGGGCGTATGAAAATTGGAGAAATATATTCCTCAGGATGATGTTCAACTTCTGATATAACACCCATTTTTAATAATTTTTCTATTTCTTTATCTACAATGTCATTTTCTTCTGGTGTGAAATGGTTAATGTAAGAAAAAGTTTTAATGGGATTTACACCCTCTTTAAATTCAATGTGACAATGTTGAACAATGTCCAACACTGAATCATCACTGGTTATTTTTCTCCAATTTTCAATAAAATCCTTCAATCTACCAGCTTTAAAAATACCAACCTGCTCTACTTCTTGGGCGCCATCCTGACATTTTTTGAAGCTGCCGATATGTCTGGCCGACCACGACCTCTACCACGGAACCCTCGTCGGTAATAAGGATGAGGGCGTCTGCTAGCATAGCCACGATAGTTGCCCCGAGGGAATCCTCTACCAAGATTACGACCAATCTTGTTCAGGTCATTGATCTCCTTCACATTCTTGTTGACGTCTGTATCGTCACCATATAAGTGATCAGTGAATGGGAGAGATGCTGAAGCCAAATAATGGTACTTCGGATCTAGATCCGACTTATGGAGTTCTTTTCGGCGAATATTTATCAACTTATTTGCCTGTCCAAGCAACGCAATAGAGTTTGAACTCCAGTCCATATCACAAGGGTCTAAAGAGTCAGCATTCTTGTCAATAAGCTTGACAAGGTTGGATGTGTCTTTGATGATCAAATCTTGGATTACCTGGATTCGGTTGTCGTCGGCCTGTGTATGCATTTTCAGTAGTCTCCAGATTCCCTGGTTGACTCTGATTTTAACCAACGCCTCACAATTCTGTGGCCTGTGTATGTCCTTCACTATATATGACTGTTTATCTTCCGTCAAACCACTTCTAAAAGACATGTTGACAAAATGTGCCAGGTCATCATTGAATTCACTACCAACGGCATCTTCCTGCTGGAATTTGTTTACTAATGAACTAAATATACCTCCCCAGTAGTTTTCTTAGCACTTGAATGAATGGATGCTTGTTCAGACACACATGCATCACCATCATCATATTGTTCTTGGCATAGTCATTATAATCATTATAGTCACCGTACTCTTGATCAGCAATCTGTTCAGTGAAGGACTGTAATTGTTGTTCTTGTTTTTCCAAGCGAGTTGCTTGTGCATTTAGATTTGCATTCATTTCCTTTAATATCAATAACACTTCTTTCGTTACACCACCCTCCTTTGTTGGCAACTGTTTCGTGGGTTGTTTACCGCTACTGCTGCTAGTAGCAGCCTTATCACTCGAAATTAACAAAGATGAAATACTAGACGAGCTAGTTGTGGTAGTTACTGGGGTTATTTCACTTTGGGAGACTTTTGTGGTCTTTTTCCCCGTGTTTTTCAACTGCACTTCTTTATCTGCCATTTTTCCACGCGACGTCGTAAAGCAACTCTATTAACGCACGTGGTTATGTCGTAAAATATATATTGTCGTAAAAAATACAACAATGGCAAATAATCAATATTTGCGAACAAATATTATAAAATTGTATCAAATTGTTACGAATAACAATAAAATAATAGAATATTGCTACGAATAGCAATAATTTATAAGACTGATTATACCAATGAATAGTCTAAAACGTGAACGAACGAATCCGTCACGGTAAACGGTCAGCTACTGTAGAAATACAACTGCACCCTACGAGTAGCAAAAACGCACTGAGGAATATTGATACGGTCTATGCACATCTCATTTGAGCACGGAAGTTGTATGACGTAATAGAATAACAGATTGTTTAACTTCCAGGGATAACGGTAATTTGATACTTCTTCTAATGCCTATCTGTAAAAACCGCTTTGTTTACATGGCTAAAATAGCTTTCTTATAAAGAAGTCGAAACATGTACGGTGGTCATCAGATCTACGTGGAGAAAAAAGTAGATCCGAACTTTACAAGAATGTACGGGATTGTATATTTATAAAATACGGGATTGTTTATTTATAGAATACAGAAATGTACGGGATTGTATATATAGAATACGGGAATATTTGACCTCGTATATGTTAAGAATACATGCAAGTACGGGCTTTGTACATATAATATACGGAGTCGTATACGTTTAGTATATGGTATTTTATTAAAGTCAGTATATGTCACATATTCATACAAATACGGACATAGTATACTACTGATATACGGACTGGTATACTCATAGAATACGGGATTTGTTTAGTTAGTATATGACTAGTATACATACATATACAGACTTAGTATACTAACTATATACAGGAAGTATAAGGAAATGTATTCTTCAAGAATACGGGATTTTTCAAGTCTGTATATGACTCGTTATATACTTGGAAATACGGACCTAGTATACTACAGATATAAAGGAAGTATACAGATTTTTTATGCCCCCCCCCCCCCCGGGCATATAGTAATTAAACCGTCTGTCCGTACGAGGTTAACCTAGAACGGCAAGTTGGATTTTTCTTAAGTTTCTACCTGTACCAATTGCTTCTAAGTTTACACACTTACTAACCAATACAAAGTACATGATCTGGGCAAGTTCATAACTCTGGCTTTCATATTTACCAAGTTATTGCCCTTTTCAGCACTTAGAAAATGAATAATGGTTAACCTAAAACGGCAAGTTGGAAATATCTTAAGTTCTATTTATACTAATGGCTTTATAATTTCCACACGTACTTATCAATACAAAGTACATGATATTGCCAAGTTATATAACTGTGTCATCCATATTTCCCAGTTATTTCCCTTTTTTCACTTTGAAATAGGGCCTTGTCTGGTTAACCTATTTCGGCAAGTTGGATTTAATCTTAAATTTCTCCTAATTGCTTAATTTCTTTAATGATATCTTTCATATTTAGTAGGTGGATACTTTTGATGGTCCTCTAATTTTTTGTGGAGTAAGCGGTCTCTAGGGTCAAGGTCAAGGTCACTGGTTTAAAAAATAAATATAAACATTTTGCTCATACAGCCTTTATTTTTTAGTTGATGTCTTAGTTTAATACAAACATGCCAAGGGAGGTCCTTCTTCTTAAGTTGTAGTAAGGGGTCATTTGGGTCAAGGTCAATGTTACCAATGTCAAGGTCACCAATGTTTAAAATAGATTTTTACAGGTGTATTGACCTTATTCTATAGACAGATGTTATTTATAATTGATAAAAACATAAACTTTGATGGAGTTAGTGGTCAGTTGGGTCAAGGTCACCAGTGCTAAAAATAGATTTTTACACATTTGCTCATACAACCTTTATTAAGTGAAAGATATATTTCATATTTGGTAGGAAGATAACTTGCATGGTATTCTTCCTTTGGAAGGGGTCAGTTGGGTCAAGGTCATCAGTGCTAAAAATAGATTTTTACACTTTTGCCCATACAACCTTTATTTATTGACAGATGTATTTCCTATTTGGTAGGAAGATAACTTACATGGTATTCTTCTTTTGGATAGAGTTAGGGGTCAGTTTGGTCAAGATCACCAGAGCTCAACATTGATTTTTACACTTTTGCCCATACAGCCTTTATTTAATGACAGATGTATTTCATATTTGGTAGGAAGATAACTTGCATGAAGTTGAATATTTTTCAACTTCACAAGTCAGAGCAATGACTTGGCAACTTATATTTTTCACAATTACGAAATGCCATGACTTTGTCAAGCTATATAATTTGTGTTTACAATTTTTTGGCAATTTTTCTGTCCATAAATCTGAGAATCTGAGCCGGGGGCATTTGTGTTTAACAAACACGTTCTTGTTTTTGTTTGTTTTGGGTTTGACGTCCCACCGACACAGTATAGGTCATTTAGAGACGTTCCAGCTTTACTGGTGGAGGAAGACCTCCGGTGCCCTTCCGTGCATTATTTCAGGCACGAACTGGCACCTGAGTAGAATCACGGACGTTCCCTTAGCTAACTGGATAGCTTCCTCACATGAAAGAATCCAAAGTCCCTGTCGGGATTCGAACCCAAAGCGGTGAGGGGCAAGTGGTTTGAAGTCAATGACACTCGGCCACGGACGTCCCCCCCCTTGTTTTGAAAAAGACACAAATACCGCCATTTATGTCCATCATTCTGACCTATGAATTGACAAATTAAATAGTCAGGACTAAAATACTGTCTTTAAACGTCAGATAAAGAGCTAGTAAGGCGATAGAAGCAAAAAAATCAACACAATAATAATGAACAGTGGTTTATTAAAGATTTGTTTAAAATGTTAACATATCAACAGTATATATAAATATATCAAAACAATATAAGTATATCTAAGCTAC